CAAACTTTCTTGGAAGCTTAAGGAACAAAATCCATAAAAGACTATGTCATAGTAAATAAAGGCTTTTTAAAATCATCTTTCAAATTAATCTCAAAACTGACAAGAAACATCATTGCATTGATCTCATTCCTGATGTGAAAGGGGTATAGCACAGCTATGGAATAAGAATGGCACAACAGACTTGAAGTTGGGGAGCACAATAATTGAAGAAAAAGAAATAGTCCCACAGATATCAAAAGAAGAGTTTGAAAGGATACTAATAAAGGCTAAGGATAAGAAAAGTCCAGCTGGGATTGTTATGGAAGTAATAAAATATGATGAGACAGGGACATCATGTTAGAAATGCTCCACAAAATTTGGGACGAATACACAACCCTGAAAGATTGACAGACTGGCATGGTAATAAATTAGCACTATAGAGGGATAATGCTTCTAACACTAGCATCAAAATTCTTTGCCAACATGTGCTCAACTGAATAAATTCAGAGAGATATTCCTGGGAGATGAATAAAATGGATTCAGGAAAGAAAGGAGATGCCACATGAATAATTCAAACAATTCTGGGAAGTCGCAAAGAAGTGAATTTGCAACTTACCTACTGTACAGAAACTTTAAAAAGGGCTTAGAGTAAATAGAGAGTTAATATGTGAAGTACTGTAAGGAGAAAAGATATCTACAAAAATAAGAAAGGAATCCAATGAATCTATGCAGACTCACAGATGAGTATAAAGACAAATAATGGAAATATGTCAAAAATTTCACAACACACACGGATGAGGTCTGTTCTTTGCCAACCATATTATGAAAGAATGGAATCTAACAATCAAGAGAATAAATCTCACTAAAAAACAAGATCCAAACAATTCTTTATGCAGATGATGTATTTATAATAACAGAATTATCAGATTACATACAAATTACACCAAAATGAATTGCATAAAACAGCACTTAAACATAACATGAAAATTTCAACAAGCAAGACAAATCAATGACTTATCAAGGGAAAGAAATAAGAAGAGTCAAAATTGTCATTAATGGGCAAATACCAGGACTATTATCCAAATTTAATTATTTAGGCAGTGTCACTAGACAGAGATCACAGGATATAAAATTCAAAATCCAGAAGTACAGCAGAATAAGTGAAGTAATCATACAATATTTCAGAAGAGATATGACTCCAGATACTAAATGAAGAATATAATAAGATGATTTCAAAAAAAAAAAAAAAAAATACTCATGTATTGAACAGAAGTTTGGAGAATGAAAGGGAGGAGATTGGCACAAACTAGAGAACAGGGAAATGACATTTTGCAGGAGTCATGATAGAGATCAGTAAAAAAGTAAAGGAAGGTCCGAAGAAATGGTCAACAGAATGAAGCAAGAGTGGTTCTAAAGGCAATATTGAATTATCAACCAATAGAAACCACAAAAGAAATGGTTGGATCAGGAACACTTGGAGTACTAAAATCCTACCTGGTCTACTGGGAAATAGGAACTGATGACATGTCCAGCAAGCAGTATATAATGATGTTTATTTCCACTTGCCTCAATTTTGTGGGCAATGTTTGAATCAGAATATTGTACCCGGATTCCACTTACCCCCAAAAGTGATTTAAGTGGTAGATAAGCAGGCAACTTTTTTTTCAGACAAATTTATGCTCATTATAACATCAATTAAATTTCAAAAGTTAAATTATAAATAGATTCTCTCAATCACTTTACACATTTCACTTGCACCAGTGGAACTCCATACAATTGTTTGTAAATTAAGTATATAGTAAAGCTTGAGTGTAATGAGTTGTTTTCAACCTGTTTATTTACTTTTTGATGTGTAATCCTGATGAAGGCCCAAATCCCTTCATCATTGTGGGTGAATTGTATAGTTAAATACTGTCCAATTGTAAGAACTGGTTTTTATAGTTATGTAGAGCAATGGCAAAAACCTGGAACTTCATCAAACAATAATATAATACATTGTTTATAATTTTATACATTTCAAGTAAATGACAATTAACAAAGATTCCTGAAATGTTAATTTTTCTCTAAAACACATTAGAAAATCAAATAAAACTGTTTTAATTTATAAATTATCAAGAGTTCTAGAACGTAAAGAACAGATGCATCTGTGGTTATTATATTACAATATTTGGCATTTAAATATTTTAATAAACATTCTTGATTTTCAAGGCATATGACAGAGTAGACAGAAACTCCGGGAAATACAGAAAGAGGAGAAAATTCCAAAGCAATTACTCAATGTGATCCAGTTTGTATAGAAATTCCAACATTAAAATAATGTTAAGAGACGGAAGAAAGTCTGCAACAACAACAACCAGCAGCGGCCTAAGACAGGGATGAGGTCTGTCGCCTTCTCTTATCAACATGCATATCAACCACTTAGTGAGAAACTGGAGGAAGAAAATTAAACAGAGAAAGACAAAAAGATAGATACAATATTCTATGAAACTATCAGTTCAAAAACCAAAAGTTATGGCACTGCAAGCCAAAGAACAAAAGAGAGGCAAAATTGCAATAAATTGAGAAGTAGTCCAACTAGTCAATGAATTTTCATATCTTTGAAATAACATAAGTGTATTTAATCACACCCAGGAGGATTTAGAAAAAAAAAATTGTATAAATACAACAGAATCTGTGGAACAATTAAGCAACACTTTGGCAGAGACAAAAAAGTAAAGGCAGGTACAAAAGCAAAACTAAAAATTTACAATATAACAGCTAAACGTATAGCTATGTATGAGATATGGTTAATGAAAGAGAGAGAGACAAACAAAAAATATAAGCAGCACAAATGAGGTTTCTGAGATTCCTTTTCAGGGACTGAGAAACAAAGACATTAGAGAGAAACTAAAAACTAAAGGCTTAGTAGAGGAAATAGAAAACTCTCAAAAGAAAATGCCAGATTGCCTTAAAAGAATGAACAACAACAGATGGCCAAAACTAATATGGAAATATAAACCATCAGAGAACAGAGACCATGAAAAAAGTGGCAACAGCAGGAAGACCTGGAAAATGTACTACCAGGAATATTGCATAAATAATGGAACAGGCTGTTAAGCCTCAACCCCAACAGTTCACGATGACGATTCTTGATTTTCATCCATTCAATTTTAAACTAAATTTTTTGCAACAAAACTCTTTCTTATTTTTAAAAGTCATAATGACAAACACACTGATAATTATCAGTAATAATAGACACTCACATAAGCATTTGAATGGAATTTTAAAAACAAGGCCTCCAAAAGCATTCTATACAGGGTGTGAACATTTTATTGCATTATAGCTTCAAAATAAACTGTACAGAATATCTCAGAATAAATATTACAAACTTCTAAGAGAATTCGTATGGGGGATAAAGATGATCAATGTTTGCCAATGAACGTGTGAGAAATCTCATAAAAAATTTGACATTTGCCTCTGATTAGAAAATAACTCATTGTGCACTTGTTTTTGGCAGGAACACGAAATATATTTGACAGTATGTTTGACAAATACCAGTGCATGATACCTACCAATAAGGGGCAAATATTGCACATGCAACTTTATTAAATGAGACTATCCAACACATGTTCTTTAGCAAAAAGTGATAATCTTCAACTCTCCTTCATGATGTAGAAGTTGTGGTGGTGAATGGTTGTGTTCTTAATTAAAATGTTACTATAGAATTTTCTGTTGGAAATATTTCTTGAATGAACGTCTTTTACTTATACTTTTATTGGGTATTACCCACATATTCATACTGATTTGCATTTATGTGTTTAGGGATATTAAAATATATGTTTGCTTTTATGATGGGAGGGGGTTCCCGCAATATAATGTAAATGAATAAAGGACAGGGTTAATGAAAAACAAATGTTCTCATAATATTCTTTAATATTACTAATTTTGTGAAAGTATTTAGCAACTGTTAATAAATATTGGAACAATATACATATACCATTATAATGTTTTATTTGTAGAAATTTTAAAGGTTTAAAGGTGCAGACACGACTACATATGTTGATAATTAGTATACAAATTCCAAACTTTCTTTACTTGAATAATCTGCTACTTAATACACAAATAATTTAATGCTGTTTTTGATTATTTTATAAAATTATCTGCTCAATTTGAGTTTAATAGTCAGTTGTGCTTACTTAAGTAAGTCTGTATGGCTTTTGAGATTTTAAAAAGCATGAAAGATAAGAAAATCAAAATTTTATGAACATACTTTTTCAATGACCGCATATGTCCAAAACTGATATAATGATTATGAGTTTCCCCCTCTTTTCAATGTACAGAAATTGGGCCTGATTCTGAAGATTTAATTAAGTATGCAGAGCAGTTGAAACAATTTGATGAAAAATGGAATTCACTCAAAGACTCAATAACCTCAGTTCATACTCCAATAAATGTAGATGTTGCTAACAAGCCATTGAGTAATCTGTTATTGGAAGTGGGTCATAAAATTCAAGGTACATTGATTTTTAATTGTAATTATAAATTAATTTATAATTGTTGATTATTTGATAATGTTTCTACAGAATTCAGATATTTGAAAGTACAACCCCATTTGCAAAAAATATAGTTTTTTAATTCAATTCAGCTATTATATCTCATTAAAAACAACTCTCATGAAAGTGAAATGTTGCCTATACTGAATTAATTATTCATTGACATTTCCACTTTGGCATGAAGAACAAGCAAACTTGTTACTTGCTTTTTTATTTCGTTACTTAAATATTACTTCTGTATATCCAGTCATTTTAAATTATTAATATGATTAATGTTTTCTCTCTATGTTTTCTAGTAGAAATTACTATTTAATGGCAGGTAAACTGACAATAAATTTCTTTGGTTAGTTACTGAAAAATGATATTATTTTTCTTTATTATTTCGCCAGAATAATTAAATGATTTCAATTACAGTGCAGTGAGTAAATATACAACATGAAATGCTACAATCTACAAATCTTATGAGTTTCACATATCTTTGATTACAGCATTGTATAATGTCTCTGCAGAGCCATTCACAGAAGAAGACAGGGCTGAAGAGAGAAATCAGAATCAAAATTTAGATGAGATGGAACCTGAAGAAGATGAACAAATAGATGAAGTAAGCACATACTATCTGAATATGTACACTGGAGCACATTTCCCCAAATGGATATTTTTTTAAACTTACAATATTTTACAAAATTATAATTTATCTTCAATTCATACATTCTTGTTTTGAACAATGCTTAATGTGTATGCTTATCATACCTGTTTGATGCAGTAAAATGCTTTTTCAATTCTTCTATAACCATTATTAGTACTAATGTGAAAATGAACCGACTCATCTTCATCTAACTGTCCACAGCTCCCACTTGCTTGCATTGAGGATGGTCACAAAATCTGATTGTGAACAGGGAGCATTAATCCGGAAGCTGAGGTTACAATACTTGTTACAAATATATTTAGTCTCTTAGAATTATATAGTTTCAATGGTAACTAATATATTAAATATCATTTGTTTTAAATTGGTATTTAGTAAGTAAAGTGTAAAAGGTAAGAAGATTCTCATACTTAAAGTGTCCCATAAACATATTCTTTACAGTATAAGTAGACACCGATTGGATATATGTTCATGCAAATTGAAGAATTCAGGATTTTTTGACACACAAAATGAAATTTCACTACTTGGTTTGTAATAAAGCAGCCCAATGATAACTTATGGGAGGAGGAAGAATGTGTAGTTGAATTGAAATATTTGATGTCTTAAAATACTTTATTTCAGTTTTGTATGGCCAATTTTAATGAAAGAGTATGGTTCTCAAGTATGGTCTCCATCCTATAGGGCCTGTAATAATAAATTAGAAAGCTCAGCACAAGTGTCTAAATTTTCTAGGTTGGAAACTCAAAATACCATCTCTGTTTTTAACCCTTGATTACACACAAAAAGTAAAATTAGTCATTTGAGTCATACAGACAAGTACAAAGAGTAGTTACTAAAGCTAAAATAAAATAATTTATGAACCACTTGCTGCAGGAATCATGGGACACAGTTTATAATGCTTTTGACACAAATGAACAATACAATTTATTTTTCTCAAAGCTTTCATTTCATTTTAGCAAGTGCTTTCGTCTCAGAAGAGAAAATTAAATACTTCACGGAAAAGCAATACTTGGATCACAGAAGGAATTGGAACATTATTTAAAAACATGTGTATGTTTTACTTTATTTCTAAACATCATAACATGTCACCCAGTTTCCATTTCTACTTCCAAAAATACAAAAGCATTTTAAGGAAAGTAATAGTACAGGCAAAAATAATGAAAAATGATCAAGATATTTTGGGTGCTAGTAACAAAACTAAAGCAATATGGAATATTATAAATTATATCACCACATTATTTTGATACTTTGTAAAGAATGTTGTTTTAAAGGATAATGACAGAGAAGTAAGCATTCCAGTAAAAGTTGCAAATCTCTTCAACCAACACTTTTCTAGAATTGTGGCTGATCTCACAAAGGGACTAAAACCACAAAATTCTGCATCATATGCTGCCTCAAAAATTTTGATTATGATGCTTGTTTCTGAAACTTCTTCCAGTGAAATCCTTGGAATAGTCAGTAAACAAAAAAATAAATATTTGTCTGCTATAAATAAATCTGGATATTATCCTGATTGTTTATTAAAAAATTGTGCCCCTGTCTTTACACACATGTTAACTCACATTTATTTTTCTTTATGAATGGGAATATTTCCAGATATTTTCAAAACAGCAAAAATGAAGCTACTTTTTAAACAAGGGGGAAAAATTCAAAATTATCAGTATATTTCTCTTTTGTCAGTTTTCTCAAAAATATTAGAAAGGCTTTTCTGTGTGCAAGCGGAAACTTTTCTCAGTAAAAAACAATCATTTTTAGACTCACAACTTGGATTTATAAAATCAAAATCTACAGAAATGTCTATTTTTTCGTTGCTTCATCAATGGTCCCAAACCAGCACCTATAGGAATATTTTTGGACCTTTTGATATTATTTACTATAACTTCTTGCCATCAAAATTACCTTCAAGTGGAATTCATGGTATTGCCCTACATTGGATAACCTTAAACATCTATCACAAATAAATGTATAGAAATACAATACTGTAAGAATGAACATTATCTACTTGTCTTTCCAATTCTTTGCCAATTGAGCATGGGTTCGATCTTAGGTCCCACCCACAATCTTTTATATGTATACAATATGCCTTCATTCATTAAAAAAATAATAATAAATTTATAACAATAATCTTTATTAACTTTTACCATCAGTACAAAAAGAAACTGTGTAGTACAGTGTAATAAGATAGTAAATATTAATATTAAAAAATTATAATCTCAAATGAGATTTAAACATTATTACTAAATATTGTTTCACTGCCTGCTCCAAGTCTTTTTCTCAATTTATTTGCTGTAATCAGAAAAATGTCGAGGTCTGATAGAGGAATATTTGCACTCTTTTGCATGCAGTTGAAGGTTCTTATGGAAGAACAGTTCTGTTTGCTAATGACATGAATATTCTTTGCAAAAAAGAAACAATAAATAGTGTGATTTCAGAAGTTTCAAATTTGTTTTGAAGTAATAAATTAACATAATTTTCCATAATTCCAATAAGCTTCCATAATTTTCATTTTCATAGAAATATTATTTTATGCAAGATGATGTATAAAAGTTTCAATAATTGTTCTCAGGAAACTGAAAATATTTTAAAGAACAGGAGAATGGGAGAAACAATGACTTATTGTCCTGTGGCTTATGGGACGAGTCATGTGCTTTGGAAAGGAAAGGATGATCTACTAACAAAGTACAAAGGCAAAGTAAGTGTAAAATAAATTAGGAACTCTTTTAATGTCAAAATGTGTGATAATTATTTTTCTTCACAGGTATATACATTTTCTGATGAAGAAGCAATGGAAAAGTTTATGAATGAACCATGGAGTTATGTGAAGCGTCACAAACCAGAAAAGTTCTTATCTCCACTTCGTATATGCATAGTTGGTTTGTAGACTGAAAATAAATTTCTCTTAATTATAAGCAACATAATATACAAGCTCTTCCAGTTTGAACATCTGACCTATTTCATTTGAAAGGACCTGCGGGCAGTGGAAAAACTTCAGTGGGAAAATTATTGGCTCGAAGCCTTGGATTATTTCACAAAGATTTGGCATTAGAAATAAATCGTACCTTAATTCCAAAATGCAAACCTCTAGGAAGGAAGGCGCAATATTTAGAAGGAAGATATATGTAAGAAACCCAAGAGCAAGCTACATCTATTGAGAGATTAATTTCACAAATTCTGATCATACATTTTTCTCTTTTTGCAGAAAGAATGAATCTTTTGTGAGGCCATCAGAAGAGACTTTACAAGGAGAACAACCACAAATCGAAGGAAATGAAGGCGAACAATCTCAAATAAATGAATCAGAGAACGAAATAAATATTGATGTAGAAAACAGAAAATTAAGAGAATCAGTTGAACAATATTTAACAGATGGAACCCCTATGCCAGAGACATTGTTATCAAAAATTTTAGCTCCATTATGGAATGATGAACCATATCTTTGTAATGGTTTTGTTCTGTCTGGATTTCCCTGGCATCCAGAAGATGTTGATATAATGAAGAAAAATTATTTTATTCCAGATATGATAATATATCTCTCTGTAAGTATATATTTTGGTGATGAACAGGTCAAAGGATAAAACTAATGGTGCACATACTTTCTCACGGCACTTCTAGCGTTTATATAGTATTATAGTATTGAAAATTGTATTGTTTTAATTTTTCAGCTATTTGTTGAAACTCTCATCAGCACAAAAACCATGCAAAATTTAAATTTGCAAATTTTATCAAGTTCAGGGATTTTAATGACAATCGAACTTAGAGTATATTTATTTGCTTTTTTTTTTCCAACTTGAGAAGAAATTAAGAAAATGTCTTCTAGGCTGGCAGGAACCAAAACATGGCATTTAGATTAACGGTCTAAAGATGAAGCCATAAGGCTACAGAGGCAGATGGTAGAAAGTGACTAAGAGTTTCATATAAACAATAACAATGATAAATGGGTATAGTAGAATGGAACAAAATACTCAATTCTTAACTCAAAATTACTGCAAAACTAATATTTTTTTCAAAAAAATATACTTAAACTAATTGAAAGATCTAACACTTAAGAATAGATTGTAGTGAATATCCTTAGACATTGTCAGACATGAAGGACACTTTCAAAAGAGAAAAAAGGGAAAAAACTCATGCATTTACAAAATTCTAGAGATTGTCCAAGGTTTGCTATTTTTTGTGAAAATTGTAAAAATATTTAACTCTTGTAAAAATATTTAATTCAGGGTTCAATGAAAATGGAACCTGTGCTATTTTTGTAAGTGCACTTTGCTCTCTTAAAGAAAAATAAAACAAAAAATTTGAGCCATTTTTTAAGAAAATATTGAGTGTTGAAAAGTTCATGTGAAGCACCCCCAAAATCAAAATATTAATTTCAAATTCACAGGGCCTTAAGTAGATCATATTGTTCATGGAATATCAATTTTTGAGAAAATCCATTGAATTGTTCATGTAATTGTGTTGTAAAATCAGACTTTTCACCATAAACCATTTTCCAGTATCAAGGATTCATAAAATGTAGATTCTGAATACACAAGGTAGAGGAAGTAATTTACTATTTGCACTCTTTGGGTATTAGGAACCCATAATATGACATTTTCTGTTGGCACTTTCGAAAAATTAAAAATTGGTACTTTTGCTGCAGCTTAACAATATTTTCTCATATTGAGGTAAAGTTCAGGAGAAAGTTAAAAGGAAACTTCAATTTAGAATTCCATTATATTTTAAAATATTTTAAACTAGTGGTGCTCAACTGCACATACTTTCGCACATTATTTCTAAATTTAAAATTTTTGAAAATTCAGAGTTCATAAAAAACAAGACCTGCATCATTCTCTTACACGTCTCTTGTATTATTAGTGAAAAAAAAAAAAAAAAAAAAAAAAAAAAAAAAAAGTTTTTTGAGAGAAAGTGTTGTTTATAAACTGCAATAATTCAAGTGCAAATTATTACTTGTGGTTTCAAAACTTTGTACATAACCTTTTTTATAGAGCTAATTTTTTAAACAGATTTCATTGAAGGCAAAAATCTTTACCTTCTCAACTTTGTAGTTTTGGAACATTAACTATTTGCAATTTTTAAAAATACAGAGTTCACCAGAAAGGAGGCTAGTATCAATTTTTTTACTGTCCTTGGATACGCAAAGAAAATTTTGGAGTCATTTGTGAGGAAATAATAGTTTAAATTTTTTAAACATTGCCTATGTTTCACACAAAATTACACAAAAAACATTTATATTTTTGAAAAGTTGAACATGATATTATTTCAACATCTGTCTTTAAAGAACATATTTCATTCAAGGAAGAATCTCGTTTCTTCAATATTGTAGTTGCAGGAATCTGCTAAAATATCTGAACTTAGCAATTTTTGAAATATCAGGAATTACAATGAAAATCAGTCCTGTCCAATTTTCTTACATGTTCTTTACTCTATAAAGGATCCAAATTTATCCATTTGTTCATTACCAGGGCCCAGTAATAAAGATTTTTAGTTGAAAATTCAGTTTCCTGATGCATGGTCACAATACTTTCTCTCCTTAGGAAGTGAGGACAAAAAAGTAAAAAGTATACATAGTGATTTTGAATAAATCCCGTAACTTAGATAATTTTACATCTCTCACTTAGTATTTAGTAAAAAGAATTTAGAGTGAGTTCTCAAATGTTTTAATATTTTTGATAAAGGGATACAAAATATAACAAAAATTAATGATTTGTACAAGGATAATATTTTGTACTACAATAAAGAAATGTTATCACTGCTTGTTTCATACTTAGATTCCAAATGAAGAAATTGCCAAATCACGACTTCTACAAGAAATGAAAGAATTTCATGAGAAAGAAATTGCAAAACAAAAGCGGAAAGCTGAAAAAGGTATTCCTCTAATTTATCTCAAATGTTTTACATTACATTTAATCTTACTACATTATTACATTACTCCTTGCTTCCCATGCAGAACAAGCACGACTAGCAGCACTTGCTGCAGAAGGTGCACATGATTCATCATCCTTACATTTGGTAAGGAAGAATATGGTAGTGTGGTAAAGAAAATATTTATTATGTACAATTAGACTATTAATCATATGCATCTTCCTCTTTTGTAATACTAGGAGTTACAAGATTTCTTATTCAAACACCTACAACAGGCATTATCATATGAACAAGTAGGGGAGCGTGATGAAATCACTGCAGGGGAAAATGAATTTGAAGGTGAGGAAGAGGAAGACCTACAAGAAATACTGCGAATGCAATACGAAGATGACATTCAAGAATGGTTCCTTAGTGATATGGAGAAATTGGAAAACATTAGGGTAATGCATTTTATAGAGATAGCTAAAATTTAAAGATATTCATCATATCTCGTCTACCACACTTGTAAAGTTGCATGATTCACAAAAGTAAGAAAATGTCAGTAAAATGTCCTCTGAGAAAAATGAATTCTCTTTAATGGAAATGAACAATCAGAACCAAAGTATTATTTAATTAACTTGCAGTAACACTCACGATAATTAATCCAATTCATGCAATCTATCTACAATTTTTGTGAAGTCTACATTCCTATAAAATTAGAATGCAAATCAATTTTTAGAGAGCATTGTCAATATGGATGAATGCTCATGCTCACCTATCTAAAACCATTTTTTTTCTGCAATGATGAATAGATCCTTGTCAAAAATTTCTTAGAACAAAATGCATATTCTTTAGATTGATACAACCCAACAATGTTTTTATTTTTGCATTAACAAGAGGACTGATTACAGATTCTTTGGGGACCCTGATAAAAATAAATAAAATTATGTAACAATAAATCACTCACATTCCTCACTTTTGATTGAATTTTTGAACATGATTAATTGCAGCTTGCCAAACATAAAAATGCATACCTGTCCTGAATATGGTAATAATCAATAGAAATAAAAAATATTTTTGTATTCACTTTTAACCTGTATGTCAATGTATATTTTAGGCTTTGGCTGAAGAACATGGTTTTAACTGGCTTGAAATAAATGCAGTCAATGAAATGCAAGATGTATGCCTTCGTATAGTGCACGAAGTATATCCTTTGACACTGAGAAGGTATTATCATTTTTAAAATCCACAAACGTTATCTTATATTCCACAAATTCAGGTAATTTAAATGAAAATATATTCACTGATGTATTTCAGCTCATCCACATTTGAACAAACATTTCCTATTACATTTGAAGAAGCAGAACAACTTCTAAAAACAGGATACTACTTTTTGAGCCAATTTGGAAGATGGTGTCCAGTACAAGTAGATGCAATGTGATAGTGCATATATTTGATAATTAAAGAAAATAAGTCTATTGAATAAAATCTTAAATTGAGAAATATGCTATGTTTCAGCTGGCCGCTAAAGAAATTCCTATTCAATTATTTGAGCCCATGAATCAAAAAGCTCAAGTATTTCCAGTAATACACCGCCGGTTCATCTATTTTTTAGGTTGTTCACATAATTATTGACATTGAAACAATTACTTCTAACACAACTGTAATTAATTGACAGTAAATGGGCTATGAGCTTGTTTTAAGAGACATTCAGATTTGAAGATTTGAGATAAATGAAAACAGGGTAGCTGAAGATGCTTTAAGACAGGAAGAACTATAAATGAGAGAAAGGATATTACTTTTTCTACTTACATTCACTTATTAATTTATAATAAAATTATCAAATAATTTTAAAACTCATTTTGCATTGCATTTCATTATGGTTTAATGAATATGTTTAATTAATTTAACCAAAACATTAATAAGTAATGTTTACAAAGAAATGATTTGTTTATCAAAATATAAAATTTTTACTAATGAGCCTAATTTCGTTTTTGTGAATCAATCACAGGAGGCCTAGAAAATTTAACTCTGTTTCAAAAAGATCCTCTGAAATACATATCAAATGCTCAAGCATTGCCTTCAATACCTGTAAAAATTGGAATAATTGGTCCACCTAAAAGTGGGAAGTCATCCTGTATGTACTGTAACAATTATTTAAACTAAAGTATTTTTAGACATAAAGGATACAAAATAATTAAAAAATAAAATTTGTTTGAAACAGTAGCTAAACGTCTATCAAAGGAACTCAATATCAAAGTAATAACAATAGGACAAGCAATCCGCTATGTTTTGGAAGATTTAAGCTGGACTGAACTGGCACTTGCAGTGGATGATGTTTTGAGGGAAGGTGAAGTGATTCCAGCAAAAATGGCAATGCGTTGTGTTGAAGCAGCTTCCATGGATCCCAGGTATTGAAAATGGCAATATGCAATGGTAGATCCATAACAGAAGCAAGGGTTAGAATGTAACTTTTCTTCAGAGAACAAGTGTTGTCTTAACACAATTTCAATTTAATTCTGGTTTTGGAGAAATACATAGTATTTACTGCAATTCAGTATATTTCTGATTTCCTTAATAATGTTGCAATTGTTTCCCTTAAAGCAATTGGATCTATCATTCTAACCAATATAAAAAAAAAGCGAAAGCGTAACCAATCTTACAAAATACAATTATGAAATTTCCAGGAGTGCAACCCAAGGATATGTGTTCGATGGTTTTCCTGCAACAACAGACCAAATCAATGAAATGGCTTCACTAAATTTATTCCCTTATCTTATTATAAATCTGGATTGTAATTTATTAACATGTGTGTCAAGATTACGATCACAAGATGAAACCTTTTTCAGGTAAACATGACACCCCTTCAAAAAATTGACTGCATTTTGTCTTTCCAGTTCCAAAAGGTATTTATTTTCCTGTTCAATATTATTTTGATGTCATATATTTATGCATTACAACTTGGTCAATGTGGGACCTTTAGGGACCAGTACTTTTTTCTGCTTTAGAAAATATTTTACATTATACAATGTAATACTGTATAACTTATTGTTGCCAGGACCATGGTTTATGTTTACACTGGGGAGATTGCATTGATTTAAGCATACTGCACTACACTGCATTTTACATGTTGCATTGATTTGAGCAAGTTTTCTGCAATATCAGACAAATTTATTCCAATATTTTTTATTTTGTTTAACAATTAAAGTTCACTCAAACTGAACAGGCCATTATTATCTCATTGATAATGTCAATTGTCTAATAAAAGCTTATTATTTCATTGCTTTGCTTACGTTTTCACTGAAGAGAGTTATTTAACAATCTAGTTTTGGATAACTTTAAAAATTAATTAATTAAAAAATGAGGAACAAAATAATAAAATAATAATAATAATAATAATAATAATAATAATAATAATAATAATAATAATAATAATAATAATAATTTTGAAGAAGAAAAAATAAAAACACTTTTTCAATGTCATGGGTTCCCAAAATGTGCATTTCCGTTGAAATTGATTTTTCCACAGCATTACATAAATTTCTTTATACTAGGTATATTACTCTGTATATACGTACATATACGAGAAAGTAATAATTTAAAATGGGAGAATTACAACTACAACAATAGTGATAAGACGGTAGCAAGTTTAATTCTATTTATTACACTGTTGAAATTGAAAGCAAAGAAATATGATTACTTTACATCTGTTTCAGATAGAAATGTTTCGTAATATTTTAAAATATTTTTAGAATTTTTGGTAAACCTTTCCTACTTCCCATCTTTTAAAGCAAAGTATCATAATAACTTCTTCTGATATCAGAAAGAAATGTCTGAGAATAATGTAGTTATATAATGCAGACTATTATTTGGCTAAGTCATATGCAAAGAGACTTATTAGTATGCTGAAAAACCATAAGCAATCTACAAATTATAATATGAGCAAATTTTTGTTTTCATAAGTCGAACACCTATCTTCTCATCTCAATTACTCCAGCATAAATATAGCTGCTGGTATCCCATCTTTTCACAAGTTAAAAGGCAACTGAATTCTGAGTATCACAATGTGGAAACTCTTGATGCCAATCATGTTATATGGTGGTTGTACAAAAGAACAACAGATCATCTCTACAAAATAATGAAAAGCATTTATGATTACTATGCTGATGTCACAATTGGTAACTATTAAAAACTGAATGGATTTCTTCATTTTGGACCATTTTCTAATCCAAAACCGATTCCTTTTTAGGCAAACCAGGGAAACTAGAGTATATGTGTATCACACCAAATGAATTCAAAGATAGACAGAGCAAGTACTTGCACTTCTGCCCAGGGTGTTTACAAAATGGTCGTCTGATTAGTGGAGGAACACCTCCAGATAAAAAAGGCCTAGTGCAATACAAGGTATGTCTTCATTTACTAACATACTTCATATACACACAAAAAATATAAGATGATATGGAAAGAAAAATATTTCATATTTTCCACAACAACCAAAACTGCACTAACCTTCATCTAAGTTTTGCTAGACATCACTAATATTGACATTCTATGGCAGATTTATTGGATGTAACAAGGTCTCACAATGGAATAATATTTCTACTACATTCCTTAAAACAGCAATTAAAATCCAAGCAATTCTGGTTTTCTATGTGTGTTTCTGAAGAGTTATCTTTTTTCCGAAACTAGAAATAGCTCAATTGATTATACTAATTTAGAGTCACTTCAATAGCAGTTTTTACTCGTACAATACAAATTATTTTTTAAAATTTTAATTTTAAAGTATTTTGTAATTTTGATCTAACAACTGTGTGTGCAACTCTCTACTTACTTAGAAGTAATGTTGATAGTAGAATAATTTAAAATTTGAACCTTCAGACTGCACTATATAAATAAAAAGTGTATGGCAATGATAAAGTAGAATTAAACTCTAACTGTACACAGGACAACAAAAATGTTTAAATCATATATCTTAAAATTATAATTTGTTTATTAATGATATAAAATATTGTGTCTCCACTAGATTATTTATGCTTTTCACTGACAACTTAAAATTGTATGCAGAAGTTAAAAGTCTTAACGATAGCTGCTCTTCAATTAGACTTGGATTTTCTTGTTTTGTGGTGTATAAATAATGGATTACATTTAAATTACAACAAATGCTAAGTGATGAGATACTCTCGAGGGAGTAATATTGTTCATTCAGTGCTGGATGAACATTTGTTAAGTACCATCTCAACTTTTAAAGATCTGGGAGTCATTTTTGGACCCAAACTTAACCCTAGAATACTAAGCACGAGTCCAATTGACTCGCATGGCACACATAAGTGAGCATCTACCGTGTTCCACAGTAGAATCCTGCCTAGGTTTAGTCTCCGTCTTCTACCTGGTGACATGATCGTCTTCAAAGTTCAGTGTGTCGAAATTACTCATGGTTGGCAATAAGACTATTTTATTGTGAGTCGATCTTTCTCATCATTACTAAAAGATAGTATTTTTGTAAGAACTTTTCATAGTTAGTAATAGCATACTGCCAATTACAAACCGAGTATAGTATTTTTTTCTTTTTAATGTTTGATTTTGGTAAAGAGGGCTAGAAAACGGATGGAATATTGTTACTTCTTGATGATGAAAATTTAGAAACAAATGAGAGGATAATTGGGAGGACGAAGGTTTTGACTCAGGACTTGCCTTTATAAAGACATTGATAAAGATATCCGAAATACAGTGGTAGAGTTTAGAGAACCTAGGCGAAAAAAATGGCATGGGTGCACAAACAACAACATTCAGTGTAATAACATCTGACAATTTAGCTGACCCAATTGCTTCGTCCGATTCACTTTCAAACATTAAAACTTTTTCAGAGTACAGTAAAAGGCAAAACATCCACATGTGGTAACCGCAGGACCAGGATCCCGAAGCAAAAACATTGCTTCATTGTTCAACATGCGACCTGTAGAGAATGCTAGGAGAATTGAAAATTACCCTCTTGAATGCTTTGGTTCTTCATCCCTAGAACTATAGAAGAAGATAATTACATGATAACTGTGTAACAAATGCGGGATATACAACATTTGTACTGCATTTGATTGACTGAGGCTATAAATATATTGTTTTATAAAAAAGAATGTTACTGATTTATTCTGTGATTAGATCTAAATTCCCAGGATTTTTAGTCCCATTTTTTGCCAAAAAATATATTTGTAATTGAAATACAACCCCAATTGTTGTTTCAGACACTCCATTATATGTAATTCTTTGAAAACAAAGGAAAAACAAATTTAACATTAACTACAGTTGTTTTGCGTTGAGTGAGTTGATTCGACTCATGGTTTGTAATAACATACCTATAAATATGCTTAGTAATCTAGAATTAAATTTGATAGTTATATCCAATACATAGCAGGCAAAGCATATCACATGCTTAGGTTCATGATGAGTTTACAAATATTGAAACTTTAAAAATATTGTACCTATTGTTAATTAAACCTATGCTATTATATCCAATATGGTTTTCCTCTTATAAAATTTATATAAAAAAAACTTTAATCCATCCAGCATACATTCTTTCATTTTGTTGCATACAAGTTCAGATTGCCATCACTGGGGCTATCTCACGATTATAAACAGGTTGCAAATTTATTAACTATTAGTTCTCTCGCCTATATTGTGATGTAAATGATTTTTTATTTTATAATCTCTTTAATAATAATGTTGATAGGTTTGTTGGAAGGTTCCTCTGAGAAGCCTCAGAAATAGTAATTAAGAACTATATGCACTGCCATAGAACTAACGCTCCAATTAACAGAACACGTAGAATAGCAAATAACAATAATATTGACTTTGCTCTGTTAAAAAAGTACCTTCAAGAAATTAGCTAAAAGAGTGATATTGATTGACTTCGTTTTGTATATTTATGATCATTTTTAAATAAGGGTTGTGATAAAATGTAAGTGAATTTGTATATTTTATTTAATCCTGTTTTTTATTTGTGATGATGTGATAGTGTGTATTGTTTATTGAGGAGTTAGTTGTCCTGAGATTTTTTTTTTTGTTGGTGTGTAATGATTTGCATTGGGGCGATTGCCTGTTTGATTTATAAATAAATACCAAGTTCAGAGAAACAATTATATAGCCAGAATATTAAAAACATTATTTTACAATTCTAAATAATGACATTTTTTAGGTGCACTTTTATTGGATTTGTGAATCACACTTCGATGAGTTCTTGAAAAACCCACTGGAATTCATTCCTCCTACAAATACATCAGAACTCCCAGATCATTTACCTCATATCCCAACAGAAGATGATGAGGATCTGGAGTTGGTAAATGATGGTTATTGCATCGTTACTTATGCTGACAGCATACCGTAAGTAAATAATAAATCAATATTGAAAGAAAAGCATTGACAAGATTAAGTCCAAATAAGTTTTGGTTGTAAATGTGAGAGTTAAAATATACACTTCAAAAATACCTTATATTCAATACTGAACTCTTCAGTTAGTTCACTGAATTTCTAGTAATTGTTACAAACTAATTTATAAGTAGCATGTGACACAAATCAATTGTCAGAAACTTGGTGTTCAGTTCACCCAGTACTTCACGAAAAGATATGTTGACTAATGCATTACAAAGAAACACGGTTTTACCTAAATTGTGTTGTTCTAGGGAACGAATACTTCAGAAAGGTTCTCCAGAATTTTCAGTAATATATGGAAATAAGAAATACATGTTTGCAAGTGCTGAACAAAGAGAGAAATTTTTAAGTGACCCCTCATATTATGGTGATAAAAAAATATGTATGCTACCTCTTAGAATGCCAGCAATGAATGTAAGTTATGATAATTTTTCTTATTATTATAACTAGAGATGTTAAGCACTAAAAAAATAGACAGGCAACCCTAATCTACTAAGAATGCCTGTGAATGTACATATGTTGACAAACCACTGACAAATCAACAGTTGTTGTCAAAGATGATTTACTCAAGTTTGGAATGAATTTTCAACAAATACTGATGTCTATACACTATAGCACTATGAAGTAATCATATTCATCAGTTATTAGTATCAACAGCCCACTACAAAAAGTTCATATACAATACATGTGCCCAACACATTGCGAGATGACATTAAACGATTATATTCGATAAACAAGTTTAAGTGCCAAGTAAAATCTTTTCTGCAGCATAATTGTTTCTATACAATTAGAAACAATACCAAACATCAAAAACGAAAGTAATATTAATTGTAACAATGAGTTTGAATGTATTAATGACCATTTGGATTGTATAATTCCAAACAAATGTAATAAGTAATAAAATGTTACTTATTAACAAAACGTAATAAGTATTGTACCTCAGCTTCTGGGTCAATGACACCACAAAGAATAATAACCAAACTCTGTAGCTGATTTACCTTTGCAAGTATTTATTACATTGGAGGAAATGTTTCTTAACAATTCTTGTCAAAAATGCTGATTTCATCTCTATTCAGAATTGATCTTGGATATGAGTTAGGATAAGGATCCCAAAATTTTAGAAAATGTGCACAGAACTCCTTAGCACATCACACAGTTTTTTAACCGTTTTTGACATTAAATAAAATAATAATAATAAAGCTTCAGCATTAAATCATTCTTTAAACAATATTTAATTAATAATGTGCCCAAAATACAAAATTGAGAAACTTTAAGTAATGGAACTGGTTAAGCCACTATGCACTCATACACAATAGTACTAGATAAGCACACTAGCATAGATCTCTGCGGTTACTAACAAAGAAGTGTTATTGATTGGACAGAACCACGCAAAAATATTGTTCCGTGATATATCCATATACTCTTTTTATTTTCCACTTTCAAATTCCATTTTCTATCAGATAAAATATTTTTATATACAAAGTGATTTCTTCATATTGCAACACACTTAAACAGCATTATAATGTTAGGACTGATATAATTTAAAACAATGTTTTTGCCTCACTAGGAAGTTCTACTGCATAAGACTCACATGGAGTACTCATCTACTGTTGTTTTACTATTTTTTGTTTAGCTTATTAAGTCACAATTGCCCTAAACTAATGGGCATCTTTGACCTGTTGTAAATAAAAATTGGGAAATATAAGTATAAACAACATATAAAAAAATAATACGAAATTCTCTCTTTTGTAAACAAAGTTAGTTTCCTGATATGAACATATATTGTAGTATTTCAATGATAACTAAAACAAAAAAGGCATTTTGCCCGAACTCTGGCCTCTAATTGTGAAGTGGAACCGGGTAATGGTATATATACCACAACATCAAAAATGAGTTATTTTCAATGACAGTTCTCCACATGGCTTCAATAGTAGCACAGAAAAGGGTACAAGTTCAAAAGCCCACCCATTGTACTTCAAATGCAACTAAAGTAGGTGTTCTGTAGGGAGTGATACTAGTGCCAGTGCATCCCGACAAACACAATTATTTATTGTGAACATAACACTCCCTGCACCTTGCATTTGCCCAAGTTTTTAGAGACATTTTGCTTGGCACTGAAATCATTCCTAAAAAGTGTAACTTTGATGATTTCCTTTAGACTAAATCCTTGACCCCAGAGAAAAAGCTGATAAGTCATGAATACTTAAATTTTACAGGAGAGCAAAAAATTATTTCCACTAAACTAAATCAGGGATTAATGATTTCAAACAAAACCTACACACAAATAGTTTAGTTTGAATATCATTCATCCCTGATTTACAAGCTTATTCAATGGGGACAAAGAAATAATTTCTGGAACCTTTAAGAAGGCAATAAAATGCAATAGTCTCAATATAATGTTTTCTTTAATTTCGCCCAATTTTTTTATTGTGACCCTAAAGATGGCTCCACATATTCAGCATTTGCCAAGCAGCGAGCTATTGCTCACCCAATCCCTAACAGCTGATGTGTTCGGAGAATGTTCACTCCCTTTGATGTGGCCTAAGGACCGACATACCAAATATGCGGCGCTTGCCGAATCGCAAGCATCATGGACGGGTGTCCACGCTACTCAGGATTTGCTGAATATTACATGTGTGGAGCCACCTTTATATTGCATTCTAGTTCCACTTCACAATTATTACTGACAACTGTTGTAATCAACATGTAAAATTGCACTTATTTTACTTCAAAACATGGCATGGAAATGCCAATGCAGTGGCACATCTGTGAAGGGGCTTCAGCTCCATCCTTTCCCATAAGTCATTGACATAACATATTCAGAAACTAGGTTTTTACAAGTTTTCTGAAATAACAACAGTCATTCAAGATATCTATGTCAAGCTATCATTAAAAATAGCATTACCCCTATGACCTTTGTTGAACCACTGTGCATTCGTGATGGAGGAAATATAAAAAGCTCATGCATTGTGTCATTAAACTATCTATGCAAACATCCACTTTTAATACTACACAGATGCATATTTCTTGCAAATACAATTGAATTGCCCAATACAGAAAGTGTACATCTTGCATTTTCACAACTTCATAACAGAGACAAAAAAGATTGGCAAGGAGATTTTATCAATATTGTAATTTTGAACTCTTTCTGAGATAAATTTGCAGAATCTGAATGTAGATTACTACAAAATGCAGTCCCTTCTTCTGCATTGGAATGGATAGCTCTTTTATCTGTTATATGATAATAATGTATCTGAACGATGCTTCATGACATCTTATTGATTTTATTCTGAGGCTCAATACATAAATTTTTAAAAAATAAGCGACAAATGAAGTGAAAAAAATCATTTTTTGAAGTTAAAAAATTGTAAATTATTTTTTTAATTCAAAAGTTCTGTAGTTCGTAACCTTTATCTCTAGAATCATTAAAGCTTAATGTATGAGCTCTTGCAAGTGTCTTGAATGTCCTTGTGTACAAATTATTGCAATAACAAACTCTCCTCTGGATTAAGATGTGGAGTGTCATTTCAAACGTTTTCAATATTCACCTACGTTTCTTTGAGGATTATTGCTCTTTAGAATTCACAAAACTTTATCCACATGACGTAACTGTTTCTTAATAACATACCTTGTTCTAAGTTCTAAATAAAGCTTCTTATTGCTTTCATTTTCTTCCTTTACATTCATGTTTTCAAACAAAAAAAAAAAATGTTTTTTTCTCATACAAAAGTATTTACAAAACTGTTTTAAAGCACACTAAAACTTAAGTACACACAATAAATTATAGCACACAACACAGCCTCTAGAAATTTCACATGGTTATCAATCTCAACCAATATAAGACTGTAACCTCTTTGGAACATGACCCCTTTCTGCATTCCATAAATCTTTCAATCCAAGTTTTCAGCAAGAAGGACAAAAGTAAAGAAGTTACCTTTGTAGAGTGAAAGTTTTAGCTAAAAGGAAGGTATTTTAATCATAACATTAAAATAGTTGAAAAGTGAACATTGAACCCTTTCTGAATTGGGATCAATTCTGTAGACACTTGATAAATGTTTTTAACTAAATCTACCTAGTTAATATCTCTTACCCTGCAACCACAGAATTATGTGCTGCATACATGCACTTCCTTCCTCCACACAGGGAATGTACCATAAACCAACTTGCTTGTCTAATTTTTTTCTTTTCTTTTTTTTCTGTTCTTGTTGAAGGTTCTTAGGTTTCCTACTCTTGGATTTCTGGAACAAACAGTCAGCACTCACCTTCATTCTGCTCTCCTTGGTGTAGGAACAGAAAGACCAAAATACCCAGGTCTTCCTCTGGATCTCTCTGCAGCTATTTATATGGGATATTATTTAAAATGTAAGATAATTTTAAGTTTGGAAATTTCATTCAACTAAATTATTCACTAATTTAACAATTATTTTCATTTTTCATACATTTAACAATTTTAGTAATAAATTCTGCCACATCTGCTGCACAAACTGAAATGTTAACAAAAGCACAAGAAGAATTTCTGCATCGGTGCAATATCCTTAAAAAATTTTGTCACAAAACAAAAATACGTAATCCCCTATTACACCCTGAAGATGGAGAAGAAAATATACCAAAAACAGCCTTCAGTGAAGACGACTTATAAATAGAATGAGCTTGTTTTCTTAATCTAAAAATGCTATCTACAAGAACTACACAATATTATATTCAAACAATAAACCTTGAAGAATCACAAGGAAATTCATGTAAGAAAGGAAAATAAAAGAATGTTTTTTGGAAAGAATAATTTTATTACAAAAATTTTAGAGTTAAAAATGTACAGTTTATGATATTGCATGAATTTTCACTTACTAAAGATGTACTAATTTTAGGAATCAATAACATAGTTCGGGTGAACAACCAACATTGGATCCTCTTCAGAAGATTCTTCGTCACCTTTCAGGCCTGTGCTGATCAATGGTATGATAACTTGATCCTGTAATGGATGAAAAAATAACAAAATATTTACAATTTAATGTGCTACTATAATTTTGACACTGAAGAAAACTATTTCCTTCACCTCTTCCCACTATACTACACGAGATATTTAGGAAAAAAAATATTTCCCTGTATTGTCAATATAGTCTATTGTGTCAACTGTAAAGAACTGAATGTGAATTTGAAAATTTTTATTTTTCAGTGGACTCGGTTAATTAAAACATCAATAAGCTCACTGTTTTGACCACACTCGTTTGTACTTTACAGGTGAGATTTAGAGCTTTCTAAAGAGAAATACATTTGCTATAAACTAGTGCATATTACACACACGCACACACACAAATTTGTATTGTGTTGTAATCGCTCACCTGTCAAAAAAATAAAAAAATAAAAACACTACACTCACATGATAGATCAATCGGTCGATTACTTTTTCTACCAGTCCTTTACGTTCCAAAAGCTCTTCTTCTGATTCCAAAACCTCTTGAATTTTTTCCAAATACCAATGTATAACTTCACTGCGACGCATTCCCTCCACACCAGAACCTATAATTTTTCCAATAAATATACAACAAAATTCCACAACATAATTGTCATAATTTCAGGTCAAAATATGATTTAAAATTTAGAACCAAAAGATAATTTTTAGAAAAAAATACCTTAGAAACACTTCAACCATGAGGACATTCAGGACACTCAAAGCGAATCAATAACCTATCAAATATTTCATATTTAACTTACGTGTTGATTCTGCTTCAATTTCTTTGTTCCTGATGTGGGTCACCAGCATGTTCGAAAGAGATTTGTATTCCTCAAATGGAAGAGTCAATTTTTTCTTTGCAACAGTTTCATCACCTAAATTAAAATGGAAAAGGATTTATCACAACCCACTGTAGTACACAGACAAAATTAATAGTTTATTTACTCTTAACTGTTTTTCTCCAAGGAAACTAATCCTGCATTGCAGATCTGCTTTAAATTGATTTTATGTCATTATGTCTCCACTCCTTGATTTTAAGTGTAATTTAGTTTCATATCAAAAGTTTTTTTAAGAACATTTTTACAAATTTCCCTACCTTCTTGAGGAGTTTCTCTCTGCTCCTTTTCTGCTTCATCAACTGCCATGGGCTCATCTGCTCCTTCTTCTAAATGAATATCAGGTTGTTCTACCCGGATAATTGATTTATTCAATAAACGGTATGCTTCAGTAACATGTTTTGGAAGAACCTAGAAATTTAAGTAGTATATTACAATGGCATTAAAAATGTTTGAAAGGAAGGATACTAAAGAGAAGAAGAAACTTCAATGGAAATTTGAAGTATGTGGATAGTACAGTTTCTATTTTGGAGGTGTCGAATGCTCATCACAATGCTTGGATAAATGAATTTCTTAAGAGCCACAACTTCACAATTATTTAAATTTCACCTGAAAATTTACAACACCAGCTGAACTGCATTACTCTCAAGCCAACTCTGCTGCTTTTGCAATTAAAGAAACATTACTTTTGGGAGACATTCTGGATTGCAGAAAGTTGAATTCTATTCCATTCCCTCATCATAGCCTGCTGTACTGTGCCCAGGACATGACATACAGTATTAACTTCAGACAGGGAAAGAGAAGTCTTGGATAACAACATCTATGCTGTAGGATGGCTAGGAAAGTGTTGCCATGTCGAACCATACTTCTTCCAGAATGAGTGCAGTGTAACATAGTGCATTATGAGGGTTCAATGGGTGCAAATTACTTGTTTTTCACAGTTGCTTGAAGACTTCCATACAAAAAATCATGGCAAGCACAAACTCTCAGTGAATCATGTAAGCAATCATCATCTTCAAGAAACTTTCTTCTCAAGACAACTTGTGCTGCTGGACCTGGATATTCCCAAATTTATCTCCACAGGTTCTCCACACTTCGAATTTCATTTGAGAGTTTGCCAAGTTTTATGCAAAAATTAATTGTGTCATGCTGTTTGAGTTAATAATGTCAGAATATGACAAAGCCACTTGATAGTGGATTACCCAACTCACAATCTATACTTTGCAGAGGGCTGAATGCCAGATGCTGGCCTACCCTGACATAACCACCACCACCACCACCCCTACTCACAGAGACCACCCTCCGCCTCTCCTTGTTATGAAAGATTCAATTCTACAGCTTTTGGAACAAGGTTTTTTCCTACACAACTGTTCCCTAATTAAAAAATACCTTGAATGTCATATCCTGAACATGAAATACAAAGATAATTGTGAAATGTGCATCCAACTTTAAGTGTTCCCAGAGGTTCTCAACTGAGACCACTATTATTTCTATTGTATACACATAAATTGAAGTTAGTATTAGCTCCTTGTTCATTTTTTACTCTTCACAAGTGGTTAGGAGCCAGTTTCACCAACAGCCGAGTAAAGTTAAGAGCAGTTACACGAGAGTATGCATTACTCTACGATACTTATTCTCAAGTAGAATTTAAACATTACACCACACTTCTGGAGGGTTATTTTACTCTAGAACACATTCTCCCTTATTTTCTCCACGAACCTGCTGAACATGCGATGTTTCATACATGGAGGAAAATAATTTACGAAGTGATAAGCGAGTGACGCTCTGCTTGGCAGCATGCTGTCAACAATTATTGCTATTGTGTTTTTATTTCACAGTATTTACTTTTAGTTGTAGTTATTTCTAATTTTTATTTTACACTTCATACTATAAATTTTTCATAGTTACCTTATAATTAATCCCCTCTCCCAAGTTCATAGTATAATTTGAGTCAGATCATTTCTCTTTTTTATTAATTTAGTTTTCTGTATACATCAAAAGATGACAAAAGAAACGTGTTATAGAAAGGAACATGATTTTGTGTATTTTATAACATGTCCTTTTCTATAACATGTTTCTTTTGTTTTTATTTTCAGGTGGCAGGAGCTTTGCTTTACTTCTTACTATTTCTCATAAGGAATATTACTTCAGTTTCCTAACAATAAGTTTTCATCAATGTATTTTTTCACATATTGATGAAAATTTGAAATTTTATCATGTATGTAAAAAATTTGAAATGATTTCTTTGAGGGTTTTTATACTACATCTGGGAGAAAGGGGGGAAAAATCAGAATACAAGTGAAGTTATTTCTTACCTCATCAGAACATTCCATTTTAGCCATAGATTCAGACAAGCGAATCATACTTTCCAACTGCCGAACTGTTATCCGCCATGTTGATTTAGAATTTCCAGAGCAATCACGCTGTCTCAAATGAGTATACTGCTTTACAAGGAGTTCTGCTGCATCCTGTAAAATAAAATAGCGCACTTTTTAAATACCAAACCAAATCAGAATAACGAAACTAGTTTTCAGTTGTGAATTCCATGAATAAAAAAAAACTCTTACGTTACTAACCTCATTTATGTAGGGTTTGAACTGCCGAGCAAATGTGATGTATTTAAGTACATCCTCCCTAGAATATACTGAATCAACACTTTCTTGAATGTTACTATGCAGTTCAACAATTTTACGAGCAATGGCATAGTCTACCACCTGTAAAGAAAGAGTAAATACATCAAATTCAAAATTTCCTTAATATAGAAACAGAAACCCTTTTCACTTTTGTTTGTGTCAAAACTGCTAACAAAAGGATCAGTGCTGCAAGGATCATCAAAACTGCAACAAAGAATCTAGAACAGAAACATTGCAAAATTAAGAGAACTTTGGAACACTTTAGTTCTCCTGATTTAACACCAATTGGGCTCCAATATACTCCCGACTAACAAGTTCCCTTTCAATATCAAGTGCTTGAACATAGTTTTCCAGAACTTTTCTTTCTTCCAAAGAAAATTTGTCAGTTCTCAGATTACACTATGTAAACTATAAAGTTTACTAAAGGATTAACCAAATGAAAAATTACAGTTATGAACAACGTCCAGCAACCAGCGTCAAATGCAGGCAATATTCAAGCAGTGCACGAGGTTGTTTAAGGCAATCACCACATTGCTGTTGGCCATATTGCATCAGAGGTAAGTGCAAGTGTTTTGGAAGTGTCCATAACACTGTATCAGACAGAGACTCCCCTGGTTGGATCAGTTGGTGGCTACCAATTCGTGATTCATCCTGCATCACAACACACGGCCACATACAGTAGCTCTGACTCATTATAAATTCACAAAAATGCACTGGCTATTTCTAGAACACTCACTTTACTGTTCAGACTTGTTCCCATGTGTCTACCATATGTTTGGCCCACTAAAGGAAGCATTAGGTGAAGAAAGGTTTGTAGATGACTCTGCAGTCAAACAGAACCTGCAGCACCCATCATCTTTTTTCCACCAGAAAATGTTCCATGCAATGGAAAAAAATGTATTTCTGCTGAAGGAAACTATGGAGAAAAACAAGGGACTATCTGTATTTTTAAGAATCCCTAATAACCCTGTGTTACAAAATTCCGGTTCAAATTTGAATGACCTTAGTAATATGATTTCTAATCTCTTTAGTATGGGATAGTTATTCAGTTTTGCCACACCCTCTTTCCAGCTTCTACTTTTCAGTACCTAAAAGACATTTAACATTTTCTCAATAGTAGAATTGTAATATGACTAAGAATATTATAGCAGAATAGAACCTGGCCCTGTATACAAATATTAATTTACAAATTTGGAGCCACTTTTGAGAAAATGTTATTAGAGCATTTCTGAAAATGAAGGTTATTTTGAAAGAATATTGGGGTTTCAAGAAACATCATAAATAATTTGAGCACTTGCACTCACAAATGCAGTAATGTACAGAAAACAC